ACTTCTCTCTTAGAGATTTTCCTTGGCGATCCCGCAGCCATCGCTCCGTCGTTACGCGATCGTGGGCTCCATTGAGTTCCTCAGTAGCGAACAGTTTTCCTCGAGGCGATACGGCCGGCGGCGACAGTGTCGTGATCCAGTTATAGAAGCCTTTATGCGCCCTCATTGAGGCCGCCCACTTTTGGTGAACGAATGGTTGCTCGGTGGCGTCGTGTTTTCAAATTTGGTGTGTTAGTGACCTCACTATTGTTTTGTTTATGTCTCGGTGCTCCAAAGTTCGGTGCTCCGTAGTTTCTCCCCTGATTGAACTCGGACTAAGACTCAAACAGTAGCGTCGTCTAGCACAGGAGAAATATTAATACAGAGCGAAGGAGAGGCGTCGTTTGTCTTGTGCGCTCTCGGGTTTAGGCGGAGAAGAGAACGCAAGCGAAGACGTCTTGACCCAGCTAAGTCAGAAGTTTTGAGTGAAGCTTACCTTCACTGAGACTCGACAGGAAGTAGGGTGTTTCTGCCTTTATCTTTATATTGTGTTTAAACAAGAAGATTGAAAATCTCGGGATAAGCGTGACTTTCCCCCGAATTGACGCCTCGTCCGTTAAAGATGCAATTGCCCATGGGATACTGTCTCGAAAGCCAAAAACAATAGTTCTCGGTAAATATCGGATGTTTACCTTGACACAAACGCGCCAAACGTAGAACATGAACCAAAGCATTGGTGTGGTGCATACAAATTCTGGAGATCAAGGATATATGATAGTACTATACAACTAATACTACTTACAATAGATAACAGCGTATAATGCACAGTATCGTGAAAAATCGAGTTAAACGCGAATTCGTAAAAAGCCTCCAGCAACAACTTCAAGGTCTACGAGAACTATTTGTTCATCTCTTATGCGCGCTACCCAGATTGTCTCAAATAGTCAGACCCGTACAGAGATAGAATGCTAAATATTCGCATTCTCTAGGCAGCTCTTAAATGGTCCTGTGTGTGTGTTTTTTTTTTTTTTTTGAAGGGGTCAGTTGGCTGGAAAAATCAAACGAGAAATCTTGTACAAACGCTGGCTTCGTTTTAAACCGGATTGTTAATTTTTTTACTCAAATCGATTTGCTTTGAAGGTGTCACACCCTCTCACATCGCCGCAATTCATACTCTTTTTTTAGCTTCATTGGCGGGCATCGTTTTGTCGTTGTATTACAATAGTAGTGTGTGCTGTGTTTAATGTGCGGTTCGTGAGGTGTGCCATGATGATCCAATGCGCGAGCATTGGATCATCATGGCTCCTCTCACACTACTTAACTGCAGTAGTTTCCGACCGAGGTTTTAATGGTATGGAGCTGTCTCCTATACAGCCATTTTTTTTACTTAGATGCTACCCTGACGAGGATTGTTCGTATTTCTAAGCCTATATCTGATACTACTATACAACTAGTACTACTTACAATACTTCTTACAATACTAATAGTAGTAATAATATCATCTTAGAAGCTTAGTACATTGAAAAGATTTGCTAAGTACTATAGTATTTTGACATGGTCAAACAGATGGCAATACTACTACTTTGTAGTAGTAGTAGTACTACCAAACCCTCGATACTTGGGTGAAAGGTCACTTATGTGAAAGTGACCTTTCCCACGAAGTATCATTCACCATGGAAGGTGATTGGCGTCAAGATACTAGCGCTGTGCGCCGCTCTGGCACGTTTCCGGGACGACAGGTGCCTCTAGAGATGGGGAAAGTCCGCGTTGGAGGATCCGGGAGACCTGTGCCTGCAATATTCTCTTCTGCAACCTCCAGACGAGCTCTAACTGCGTCACAAGAAGCTGTCGCAGCATCCGTCACTTTGTCACCTCGTGTGATCATGGAAGTGAGTTTTCAGTTTTCCGGCGTCTTGGTGGGCTATTATATATCAAACCGTGCGATTAACAGTGCGTGGTTGTTTAAATAAAAGTCACATCCGCGAAGTCCATTTCGACGTAAAGAAGAGTTTTCGAAGGTGCACAATAGCTCTTCGGGATACACTTTTTTCTGTTTTTGATGGTAATATTGCTTTTTGTCTATCATAGACTACGGTTCGAGTATCAGAGGACTCGTCCAGTTCTGGTTTCCAAGTGAAAAAGGTCACGGGATCTCAC